AGGCTGAGTCGACCTTGAGCCGGTGAGATTAGAACCGCTGAACTGCAGATAACAGTCAGCTGAAGTGGCCTGCAGTGCTGCACCCTAACCACTGCACCACCTGGGCTCTCAGAATTAAGCCTTTAACTCAAGGGGTCCAAACTTGGGAACTTTAAGACTTGTGGACTGCAACTTCCAGCCATTGGCCTGGCGGGGGAATTCTGGGAGCTGCAGCCCCCAACTCTTAAAGTTCCCAAGTTTGATCCCCCCTGCTTTCACTTGTGCCAAAGGAGCACCACTGCGTCACCAGGTGCCCACTGCCTTTTGAGAAGCCCCCTCCCTCCCCCCCGCCCGCCTCCCGACTGCTGGCAGGGTGCCTGGGAGAGCCGTCTCACTTACTGGCCAGGTAGCCGTGTCCCCCGCAGGCTTCCCGGCATTCTTGGATGGCTTGCTGGGTGAGCCAGGAGGCGAGGGGCTTGCCCGAGGTGGACAAGGCGTGGATCTCACGGCCCAGCTCAGCCTTGGGGAAGAGGAAGGAAGAACGGTCAGCAGCCCAGCTCCTCGCCACTTCAGGCGCACCAGCGCGGCTGCAGGAGGGTCTCTCCAGCAGCCCCCCACCCCAACCCCCTTGGGGGAAAGCAGAGAGAATGGGACAAAACGGACAAAACGGACAACATTCTGGCAGTTTCCCGTCTGTCTAAATTGCACGGATTCATCCGGATTCTTTCCACATGCTCATTTAACAAGAATCCCGTGGCCCAAATCCCCTCCTAAAGAATAAAACAGCTGGATATGGATGAGTCACAATTAATTATCAATAAAAAGTGTTGCAACACGCACACACACACACACACACGCTCAGTAAATCTGAGAAGTTCCATTATAAACGTACAGGCAGTCCTCGTCTTATCACAACTGAGCCCAAATGTTTGTTGTTAAGTGAGACATTTGTTAGGTGGATTTCCCCCCATTTTCTGGCCAGAGTTAAGTGAATCACTGCAGTTGTTAACAACACGGCCGTTAAGTGAGTCTGGATTTCCCACAGACTTGGCTCGTCAGAAGGTCTCAAAAGGGTATCACGTGACCCCAGGACACTGTGACCGTCATAAGTATGAGTCAGTTGCCAAGGGTCTAGAGTTTTGTTCACGTGACCATGGGGAGGCCACAATGGTCACAAGTGTGAAAAACCCTTTTTTTCAGTGCCTTGTAACTCAGACTGGTCACTAAATCATCGGTCGTAAGTCGAGGACCACCTGTATACATTCAATATTTCCACCCAAAATTACAGACTTTATCACTGACAGACAACGGCTCTTCGTGTCCTTGCGATGGCCTTGAGGTTTTGCCCAAAGCAATTTCCACCCATTCAACGCAACGCAATGAAGTTTGCGCCGTGAAGAGAAACGGGATCCACCAGGTTCGTGGCGCAGCCGTCCCACCGAGGGGCCAAAGGATCGCTTGGGAGCCACAGAATCTGGTTTTGGAAGATTCCCCCACCTGCTGGGGAGTCTTGTCCTTCATCATCTGCCCGATGTGGAACTCGATGAACTTCAGGAAGAGCGCTCGCGAGAAGTGGTCCAGGGCGTAGGTGGCCGCCAGGTAAGGGAGCAAACGCCACTGCTGCAAGTCAAGGGCATTTGGGTTGGGTGAGCTGGGAGACAGGCGTCTCCTCAAGGACTCTTCCAGAAGCCCCAGCTCAGGAAATCCTCCCCGGGGATGAAACCCAGCCGGTTCTGACAAGCGGACATCTTGAGTAGCTTGGAGAACCGGCCAATGCCGCCTCTGGCGGCCCCAGGTGTGGGGAGGGGATGGGGATTTCGCAGCCTCCTTCCCCTGGATTGGGCCCACCGTAGAGCCGTTTGTTGCGGGAGTTAACACGGCAACAAGGACTCCCCGGGAGGCGGCCTGGGCCGTCACACCCAGGATCGTGCAATGATTATAGGAAGCAGAGGCCGCCTGCACCCTGAGGCCCCTCCCTTTGGGGGCAGAACTAGACTTCCCCTGGCACCTGCTCCTGCCCAGGCGGCCTTTACCTGCATTTGGTATTCCAGGACAGGGATCTCTTCGCCGTCGCTTGGTCCGAACTGGCGCCGGGTGGCGGAGAAGCGAATGGCTATCGACACGCCCAGTTTCAGGTTGGCCACAGACATGGCGATGATCATAACTCTCCCGCTGGACAAAGTGCCCAGAGAAGCCCCCAAGCGCTGCTTGTGATCCTGGGGAAACACAACTGCCTCGTAAGGAAGAGCTGACCCCGGACTTAGTGCTGCGAGATCAAGTCCTCCCGGCTACGGCCACTCTGCTGAGCACCGGCACGCGAGGGAGAAGCCGGGAGAACGGAGTCGGATTCCCATACGGGCAAATTAGTCGTGTGCTGAAACCAGGAGACGGAAAGTTCTAGACCCACGTTAGCCCCCCCCAGCCCCCCTGGTCCATCCAACCCACCCCACAGGGCTGCTGCTGTGGGGAAAACGGGAGGAGGAGGAGGAAGCCGATATTAGGAATGTTCTCCGCCTAGAATTTTTTTGTGTTTACCAACCAAGGTGGGAATTTTAAAAGAAATTACTCTGAGAGAAGCAGATCTCCTACCTTGAAGGCGCTGGTGTATTTCCCCTCGGCACTCACGTCGCCCGTCCGGCTCAGCAGGTTCTCTTTGGGGATCCTCAGGTGGTGGAACATGGCAAACCTGGCAGTTTCAAGAGACACGGTTGAGTGGGGGGATGGGGGGGGGGCTCCTGGGCTCAGCACAGGCATGGCAGCCCTCAGCCAGGACGGCACGGCCCCCTCCTCACAAAGCAAGTGTGCACCTTGCAGCCTCTGGCTCCTTGGGACAGAACGCCCCCTCCTCCCCCGGGTGCAGTTTCCCTGCAGATGGGTGGAGGTTAAGCAGCAGCCGAGCTCAGCACCCCAAAATCCCTGCAGGGCCTCCCTCCCAGGGATGGCCGGGCAGCTCCCAAGTCCAAACAAGGCTGGCCGGGAAATACCCTTGGCTGCCACCTTCTGCTTCTTCACTGGGCTCATTTGGAAAAAGCTAGAAGACGTGAGACAGGTCCACCCGCCCACTTTGAAAGCACTACTTTGAAAGCAGCCCCTTCCCCACTCACCCACCGGCTCTGGATCACATGGCTGTGAAAAACACCTGAAAGTCTGTTTTTAAAGACTCCTAATGACTTTTAAAGACTTTTAATGACAGCTTCTTCACTTCACTGGCAGCCTGCTAGGGGCAGGGGGGAGGAATCTGGAATAGTTTGGGCCTGGGAATAGTTTGGGGTGTGTTTGGGCCTGGGAATGAGAAGACAACCGGCGGAAGGGAAGACACATTGGCAAGAACCAGAGGTACCAAACCTGGAATGAACCAGCCACCAAGGACAGAATGGCCTGGGAACAGAATACAAAACTACACCGAGAGGTGCCAAGTATCCAAAACGTTCCCAAAATATCAAAAAGGCTTCCCATTGGACACTGATGGGCTGGTCAAAGCGGGAGGGGAGGGGAGGGAAAAAGGGCGTAAGCTTTGCGTAGAAAAACTCAGATATGGTTTTGCTTTCTCTGCAACCGCTTAACTTTGGCAAAAGAAGCTTCAACTTCGTGGAGTCGAGGGTCTTCCTTTCCTAAATGCCTCTGTCGTGGCAGATCTGACAATGGGATAGGGAAGTTTTTTTTAAAAAAAGGATTCTTGTATTTATTTAGATCCCTAGGAGTATCTTGTAATGCTGTTAACTCCAGAAAGCCTTGGACGGTGACGTTTCTGAAGTGATTAGTTTTTGGGGTGCTTTCCGGTCAGTCTTGACTACTTGGAGAAACCCTTCCAATTTTCTGGGAAAGGTTTTGAAAGTGGCTTGCCCTGAAAAGGAGGGACTGGCGCAAGATCACCCAGCTGGCTTCGTGCCCAACATGGGACTAGAATTCCCGGGCTCCCCAGCTTCTCACCTGGTGGCTTAGATGTAACCATCACCCTGGGTGGAAGTAGTGATCTCCTGCAAAGGACACTTACCCGTTATCTAAGCCATTCTGCCCCAGCTTCATGCCTATGTCGCCAACCATCACGCCTGGCATCGGAAGCAGCGTTTTTGGATCTCGAATCTGGAAGCACAGAAGAATGGGAAATTTAAAGCAACACGTCGATTCACTTTGTTTGGGGTCCTCAAACCTTTTGAACAGGGGGCAGACCCACAGCCCCTCACACTGGTGGGGTGTGTGTGTGTGTGTGTGTGTGTGTGTGTGTGTGCCGGCTGGGCGGGAGTGGCTAGGTGGCCATGTGACTGAGTGGGCGTGGCCCATTTTGCCTTTGTCCTTGCTGTACTCGCTCAACCCAAGGAATCTATTTACTTAAGGCGCCCCCCCCCCCCCCAAGGGAAAAAGAGCAGAAGCTTTCTTGCCTAACTTCGTTACAACAGCAGCTTCTTCAGGCTCCTTAAAATAGGCCATTAAAAGGAATAAAACGAACAGGATTTCCTTCCAAGTAACTCCTGATCATATGTTTCAGATGACCACACAATAAACCAGACTGAGAGCTGCACCAATTAAGACTGCAGCTAAAACCCCCAAGATGGGCATTGAGAGACATTGGAAGCAGGAGAGAATCAACACACACACACACACACACACACACAGCCTCCAATGGTGAATTAAGGAGGGTCCTTCAGACTGTGGGGGGCCAGACTATAGTTTGAACAAATTCCTATGAACACTGCGCATATCTTCATTTGTAGTGCAAAAAAACCCCATGAAATAATATTATATTTAAAATGAAGAACAATCTTAACCAACATAAAGATACTACTAATTCGATGGGAAGTGTGGGGCCTGCTAATTTGGGATTACAGGGATAAAGGTCTTTTAAGCCTGGAGGAGAATTCACAAACCGAGTTGCTTTTTTGCCACGCTTGTGCAGGTGTGTATATACACACATGAATATCTACCAAAATTGTTCAGCAACCGATTTGGTGCATGTACTTTATACATGGGAAGAATCAAAGCAGTGGGTGAATTCTCCTTCGGTTGCATTTGAATTGGTCTTAGCCAACTACAGATGACTTTGAAAAAGCTAGGAGAGGTGGAGACATGTCCCCCACCCACCCACCCACTTTTAAAGTGCCACTTTGAAGACAGCCCCTTCCCTGGATCACATGGCTGTGAAAAACACCTGAAAGGCTGTTTTTAAAGATTTTTAAAGATTTTTAAAGCACTTCTTTACAAGCTGACCTTGGTCCAATTACTTCGGACCTCGGGAGAAGGCAGCAAACCCACCTCCGAAATCTGGCCAAGAAAACTGACTGAAGACACTGAATGAAGGCCCCAAAGGAACCCCCAAAGCTAGAATCTCTCTGGAAGGAGGCCCCCAGACGGGGCATTATGCGGTGCTGACGGTGCCACCGGTCCCAGCAGGAAGGAAAGGCAGACCTGCCCCTGCCAAACCCCGGAAAACAGGGACCGCCCCTCACCTGCACCACGAAGGAATGCAGCCCCTGGCACTGGCCGTCCGGCATGTAGAGCTGGGCGTAGACCACGGCGTGCGTGGCATTCTTCCCCATGTTGCCAACCCAAAACTTGGCAGCTTCGAAGTCAGGCGAAAGAAGAATAAACTCCTGCATGGCCGGAAAGAGACATTTGGCATCAAACAGGGAGAGAAACGGATTGTCTGCTCTACATGTAGTCCTTGGCCCACAAAAGTTCACTTAGTGACTGCGATGACGTCACTGAAAAGAGTGACTTACCGTATTCTTCGGAGTATAAGACACACCTTCCCCCCCCCCCAAAAAAAGAGGGTGAAAATCTGGGTGTGCCTTGAACTCTGAATGACCACTGGCTTACCTGAAGGGTCCTTTTCTGTACGCTGCTAGGAGCGTCCAAGCAAGGGTTAAATTCAGCCTGACTGCCCTGGACTGAATTGAAAGATCTTTAGCCTCCTCCTCCTCCTCCTCCTCCTCCGGCTCCTCAGATTTTCCAATTCAGTTCTAGCCCAATGGACCCGTTTTCAGTGGTTCCAGACTATCAACAGAGATTTTACCCTTAACTTGGACTTTCCAACCAAATTATTCCATTCTGCAAGGAAAAAAAGGCCTGCTTTAAATTTAACCCATGCTTGGACTCTCCAAGCAGCGTACAGGAAAATACAGCATCTTTGGCCTCCCGAACTCCCCCCCCCCCTTTTGCAAAAATGGACGTGCAGAGGGTTTGGGAGGCCTGCAAAGTGCTCCTGGGGGCATCTTACAGCCAGAAAAAATACAGTACGTCCGTTGTTCACACTTAAAAACTGACGCCCTGTGAGCCAAGGAGTCCACTTAAACTCCGTTTCACCATCCAGTGTTGTTATTATTTTAGTAAAACCGAAGGCTGAGGACTAGAAGCCTCTGTTGCTGGCCACTGACAGACTGACCTGCGTGTCTGGCTTGTATCTAGCAACCGTCCGGATGTTCTTGGTGTTGCTGCCATGGCTGACTTCGGTCAGTGCGAAGCATCCAAATATCTGGGAACACAAAGGGGATCTTAAGAGCGGGGAACACCATCACACAGAAGCATCGTTGCCCCCTGGCTCCACTGGGACGCTCTGAGCTGAGCCGGCCGCTGGGGACCAAGAGGAGGTTTCCAACGTCCAGCAGATCCAGTCTTAATTAATCTTTCTGTAAAAGCGATGTCAGCAACTTCAAGTTTCAAACAAGAGTAAAGCAGTACCTCCATGTTTTCAACATCTTTAACGAATTTTTTATGCCTTTCAGATCCGGAACTCTCAATGGTATCCTTGAACACCTACGACAAGGGGAAAAAAACAACCCCCCCCCCCAAGACAATTAAGAATCATAAAAAGTTTAAACATAAACTTTTTGCACTATTTGCTGCTCAAGGGGCAAATGCGTGAACTATTCTTCCAGGCAAGGTAGCTTTTTCCCAACCAGGTGGGGGATACAAGCTGGGCACCCCTGGCTCCTCTCTCCCGCCCTGTGCTCTCCCCCCCCTCCCCGCTTGATGTCTGGGGAATTCTGGGAGGGTCTAGGACTGCCCGCCTCGTAACCTTCACCGCCCCTTGTTTGCCCCCAGCCATTGACCTCTTCCACCATCTGTCCTCCGCTGAAAAGACCCCAGCTCTTTGCCCTGGGCGATGGGACCCACCCTCTGCACCCCCAGAACGTCCCTGGTGGCCCATTAGGCGAAATACTGCCCAGCCCGGCCTTCTGGGCTCAGGGGAGAGTGGGCTGCCAGCCAAGCGGAGGAAGGGAAGGGAGAAAGAGACGGAGGGAGGGAGGGAGGGAGGAAGTGTTCCGTCTCGAGTTTCCTCTCTGGGGTTTGTTTCTCCACCCAGCCGCCTCGGTCCAAGCTACAAAACCATTTGCATCCCCCCCACCCCTGAAATGTGACAGGACAACATAAGGGCCGCAGGAAAGTTAAACACAACTGGGATGGGGTTTGGAGGTGCAGAGCTCTCGGGGAAGGTAATAATTGAGCCAACGAAGTTTCTGTCTTTACAACGTTGTCCTGTCACTTTTTTTGGGGGGGGGGGGAGGGGGAAACACAAAGGGTTTTCAAGCAAGTGGAGGGGGGGGGGAAATGCAACCTCCATACCCCAACCCGGTTGTGCTTAAAGGCCGGGGTGAGCAGTATTTTGCCTAATGGGCCGGGAGGAAGGTCCTGGGACTGCAGAGGCCGGGTCCCATCGCCCAGGGCAACAGGCAGAAGAGGTCAGTGGCTGGGGGCGAACAAGGGGCTGCGAAGGGCATGAGGCGAACAGCCCCATTCCGCTCCACTGCTTCCCTCCCTCTTTCAGCTTAGCATGTATCCATCTCATCATCAAAAAAATAATTACAGGCAGTCCTTGACTCCCGACAGTTTGTTTAGTGACCATTCAAGGTTGCGACAGCACTGCAAAAAGAGACTTATGACCATTTTTCACCATTACAAACTTTGCAGCATCTCCATGATCACGTCATCAAAATTCAGGTGCTTGGCAACTGATTCATACATATGACCGTTGCAGCGTCCTGGGGTCACGTGATCCCCTTTTGCGACCGTCTGACAGATAAAGTCAACGGGGGAAGCCAGATTCACTTAACTTATCAACTGCAGTGATTTACTTAACAACTGTGGCCAGAAATGTCATAAAATGGGACAAAAGTCACTTAACAGATTTCTCAATGAACAATAATAGAAATTTTGGTCGTAAGTCAAGGACCACCTGCATGGGGCTTAAGGCATTGCTAATGCTTTCAAAGCCGAGCATGGCTCCCAATTAGCATTTTAAGTGCTCCTTTTATCTTTAAATGAGAAGGAGCAAAGGCTTTGGCAACTCTCCCTGCTTAAGCAACCCAGTTAATAGTTGCTCTCAAAGTCAGCACTCAGTTGAACCCAGTTGAGAGGTTTCTCAACAACATTAAATAATTAAAAAGAAAAAAAAAAGAAGTGGGAAAAAGTGCAGCTTCACTGTGTCGACACAGTGAGAACAGCTGCCTGCCTACCTGGGAATTGAGCAAGTATTTGGTTCCCAGGGACCAGTCGTACATCCCCAGGCAGCTGATCAGGGCGACCACTTTCAAGGGTTTCTCCAGAATCTCCTCCAAGGTGAGGAAAGCGTATTCAAAAAGCTTCCGACAGCGCAGGAAGGTCAGCTCCCGGTACTTCTCCAGCGGCAGCTCTTCCCCGGGGACACGGGCAAAGAGCGGGTCGTTCTCCAGGGCCGAGAAGACGGTGTGCTTGGGGGACAAAAAGCGGAGGGGGCTTCCGTCAGTTCCCAAGGTCCTGCCCGCCCACAGGAGCCACTTTCTGAAGCCATTTCTGGCAGACGACCTCAGGGAGAATGACCCCAAAGACACAGAATGCGCTTTTCTCCTCCTTCCTGCTCGCCAGTCGTCTCTTTGGGACTGCAAAACCCTTCGGAGCCCCTCGTGCTAAAAGGAAAGGCCGGGAAATGCTCCCCTCACAGCAACTTCCGAGTCCTTAAAAACCTGCATTTGGTAACAAAATATTGCATGCATTTCCTGTTTTTTAGTGTGTGTGTGTGTGTATGTGTGTGTATACACTCTTCTCATCACCCACATTTCTGGAAAGGGAGCCTTCTTGGGGCCCCCTGAGGTCAGTTGTTCCTTTGCAGACAATTCGTAACCCAGCCCAAGAAAAGAGGCAGCAAAGACCACAGTGCCTGGAGTCCTTCAGGATTGGGCGGCCTATACATTTAATAAATAATAATAATAATAATAACTGCTTGTGCCAATGATATTATCTGAGTAATGAAACGTTGGCAAGCAAACAACTAAGAGCTCCACGGTTCAGCCATGGGTCGCAAACATTCTGTTCCTGGAAATGCTACAACTGGAGCAGAAAGCTTGCCTGAAATCGTTGCAATGAGGAACTCTGGATATGCTCCTCCTATATGGGGGGGATTTATTTCAGCAAAATAAATACCAAAAATAAAAACTAAAGCACCCCAAAAGCAAACTTTTTTGTATATAAATCCTCGACTAAATTCAGAACTTTTATTAGCTGATCAAAATGGCTTTATACCTTCTCTTCTTTCTTTCTTTCTTTCCTCTTTTTCTCTCTCTCTCTCTCTTTCTTTTTCTTTCTTGCACTTTTATCATTCTGTTTGATTTCCTTCCGATTTCCTTTTTCTTACATTAGTTTTTAATTTCCTTTTTAAAACTCTAGATAAAAAACCGGCCATTATAACTACAAGCAGAACAGAGCTGGAAGGGACCTTGGAGGTCTTCTAGTCCAAGCAGGGGTCCCTATATACCCGGGATGGCGAACCTATGGCACGCGTGGCCCAGGTGGCAAGCAGGACCATTTGTCAGGGCACGCCAGGTGTTGCCCTGTCAGCTGAGTTCAGCCTTTCTTAAAGACATTTTTCACCCTCCCCAGGATCCAGAGGCTTTGTGGGAGCCTGGGGAGGGCAAAAACAGCCCACCCCTCTCCCCTCCCCTCGGAAGCTTCAGGAGCTTCCCTGTATATCCAAGGTAAAGAAGAAAACCGATACAGCCACATTGAACAAAATATAGGGCGTGAGAAATGACCCCAGGCAGGAACCCAAAGAGCAAGACCAATGGAACCGTGTCAAAGGGGGCCTGCGGTGGAAGAGCCAACCCTTCCGGATCCTCTCTGGGGCGACTCTGGGGTGGATGGTGGGGCCTCCCAAGGAGGGGGGGCAGGCTTCCTTCCCAATTCTGCGGAGCCTCACCTTGAAGCGGATCAGGTCCTCGTCCTCCACGAAGAGGGCCATCTCCTTCCAGTCGAAGGACGCCTTCTTCCGGTAGGCGCACAGGGGCCCTTTGGGGGGGTCCAGGAGCGGCAAGGGTCCCGAGGGGCCTGATGGGGCCACTTCCCCATTCAAAGCCATTCTGATACGGACGCCCGAAACTGGGAATCGAACTGAGATGAAGGAGGGGGGGGGGTCACAAGGAGGACGACAAAGGCGCGCAGAGAACCCTCTCCCTGAAGCCTCTCCTTGTGCAGGAGCAGCCGCTCCGCTCGGACACCGATATCCTCCTCCTCCTCCTCTTCCTCCTCCTCCAGCAGGCGGAGTTTCTGAAAGGTTTCTGGCCATCCTTTGCTCTCCTTGGGCTGCCAGGCTCTTAAAGGCAACCACCTTCCCTCCACGCACAGCAGGAGGAGGAGGAGGAGGAGGAAATGTACGGCTGGTTCTTCCTTTTTCTGCTCCGCTGTGATTCTGCACCCGTGAGGCTGAGACCAATTCCCTTGAATTTATTGCTTTACAAGGACAATAAGGGCTTAGAACAGGGCTGTCCAAACTTGGGAACTTTTAAGACTTCAACTCCCAGAGTTCCACATGTCTTAAAGTTCCCGAGTTTGGACACCCTGGATTAGAGTAAAACGGACCCCATGCAAAGCCCATTGGGCTCCTTGGAGGGGAGAGGCTACAGGTAGTCCTCGACTTACAACAGTGGCCGTTCAAAGTTACAAGGGCACTGAAAAAAACAGGACTCGTGACGCACGGCAGCCCCTTCCACGGCCGCGGGATCAATACTCAGCCGCCTGGCGACCGATTCATACTTTCGACCTTTGCTGTCCTCCCCTTCCCCCCCACCCGCCCAAGGGGGCACCTGATCCCTTTTGGGGATTTTTTTTGTTGACAAGCAAAAGTCAGTTGCCAGGTTCACTTAACGACCGGGCTGCTAACCGAACACAGGCAGCGAGACACTTAACGACGCTGGCAAGAGAGGTCCCAAGGGCAAAGCGGGGAATGACGTCACCAGTGCCAGGAGGAGGAGGGAGCCTTCGGCACTAATCAGGAAGACTCAACGAACCCTTATCTCACTTAACGACAGAAACGTTGGGTCGGATTGCGGACATAAGTCGAGGATTAGCCGTATTTGAGCGATGCACTGAAAGAAGAGGCGGAGAGCAGCGAAAGAGGGAGACGGGAGGGAGTCTCCCGGGGTCTCCCCCATCCCCCCTTGCGGGGCTAGAGGGGGCTCCGGCGCCCCCCCCCGCTCCT